GGAAAGCATATGAGAATAACTGTCCCAGTGTTATCTAGAAACCTTTTTCTGTTTGTTTGTTTGCTTCAGCAGAAATAATTTCTCAAACCACTCCAGTTCATTGTTTTATGTGACATCTATACTTTTCTTTATTTATTTTTCCCTCTAGCAAGGTGAAGTAGGACAGGGATGCTTTTGCATATGGAATTCCTAATTGCCTGCTTCTTGGAAATAAAAGAATGATCTTGATAGCATTGTCTGTGTGTATCAGTAATTAGTGGAGATGTTTGTACCAGTAAGCTGCCAGGTGAATTGAATAAATAACTTACATAATTAGGAGTAATGTGCAACTTAGTTGGTGTCATTTCAGCGGACTTTGCTCTGTTTTACTGACTGTATTGTTTAAACACTATAGTAAAAGAAGTAGCAATATTCTTTAGTACTAAAAGTGCATGACAGTTCTAAAAATGACTTACCTTTTGGTTCCTAACTGACCCTTTCAATGGTCACTTGATGACCTCTCTTTCTTCTGACATGCTGGTTTAGCAATAAAAGCTGCTGCAGTCTGTAGAAGTATCCTTCATATTAAACTGCCGAGTTCTTTGGTCCAAAAAATCTCCCTGAAAACTTGCTGTGGATTGTATATTCAGCATTGATTTTCACAGCTTTGGTTCAGATGAAACTTTGGCAATTAAATGTATTCTGACTTCAAGGGACTGGGACCCTGACTTGTGCCCTTCTGCCATCCTCATTTGGAGACTGTCAGTTCCCCGCATGCTGTATTATGTATAAAGTTCAGAACTTGCTGCTAAACTGGTACTTTTATTCTGTGGCAACTAGTCTCAAAAAAACCAAAAAAACCAAAACCACCCTGACTTGAAAGGAGGAGGGAGAGAAAATGGAATTTCTGTAAACTGTGTTAAATAGCTTTAATGATGCCAACAAGGTGAGGCAAATGCTGATTCAGATGCAGTTTTGTTGTCTTTGCTGCTGATACTTACTGAATAGCAGTGGTGATATTCTGCACTTGCAGGTCTTCTGTCAGACCAGTAGAAATCCTGCATGAGTCTGGATGTCTCCCTTAATTAAGGGTTTCTGACCGGCTCTGACAGAATCTCTAGTTCTGAAGCAAATTAGCAGTTTATGAAGCACTCCTTCTGACATAAATGGCACATTATGAGACACCCTCCCCCCTTTTTTAATACTTCAGAGTCCCTGAAAGAAAGCACAAGTGTTGTTCTACCTAATAATATATGCTTTGTTGGTTGGGTTTTGGTTTTACATGACTGCCATCTTTCATGCTATTTGGGGATCCTGTTTAAAATCCTTTATATACTCTTCGCTTCAGATTTGAATCACTACGCTTTTTTCCCACCAATTTCCAGGACTACTTTTTGTTCATAAGGTCTGTTTGAAGTTTGTACTTCCAATATCCTGCCCTGGGCAGTATGCTTCTTCACACAAGTTCTTATCTTGTAACTTTCTTAATCCATCCAAAGCATTTCTGCTTGTGTGTGTGTGTGTGTGTGTTTATTTTTACATGAGTGCACCTTTATATAGGGTTAACAGGAACTACTTGGCTTCTGCTCCCTGTGCTGACCTAATCTGTGTATGACTTGGATACTAAACACTAATTGTTCTCCATATCAGTCCCTAGTGTTCTTATGTTTTTATCAAGAAACAAATCTGGTCCATCTAAGAATGTGAGTTGGGCTGACCTCCATTACTAACATTTTTTTGTTCTTTATTATTGGATGGTTCATGATCATTTACACTCTTTGGGTTTTGGTCTCTTCTTAAATAATGTAATTTTGTGCCTTTTTTTTTCCCCCTCCAATTTTTAAGCGTGTGTGTATACATAACAGAAGATGACAAATTTTCACACAACAAAGCTCTCTGCTGACTTCTCCTACCTGCTTCATATTGTTTCATCCTTAAGTCTTCTTGATGTTGCTTCTTTATGTACCTGATTAGTCAGTTCCTTCTTAATTAAGGCTATTCTACAGTTCACCCAAACCTCTCTAGATTTCCTCGTTTCTTGCATTCTTCTGCTGTTCATTCTGTGACTTTTTACAATCTGCCCACTCTGTGTATATAAACTTTCTGAATAGACATCTGCCAGGTGTCCTCTTGTGCTTTCAAAAAGAACAGCTTTTACAGTGATTACAGACTAGCAATAAACATAGATACTTGTGCCTTATTTCTGTTAGTATATTTGGATTTTAAGTTTTGTTTGTTTGTTTCTGAGGTGGAAGGATATGGTTTGAGGCCTGTATATTTTAAGCATCCTAGTACTATGAAAATTAACCATGGGGTCTTTTTCTTCTGTAGCTCCCTTTGAAAGAATAGGTAAACTTGATCATTATTCTATATAAAACTTTTTTTTTTTTTTTTCCTGCTCAGGTGACAAATGCTCATCAGGAATCCTTAGAGAATCATGTGCGAGTGCAGGCTGCAGCCTTAGATAGCTTTAGTGAAATGAACAGCTCCTTGACATCAGCATCAATAGACTTGCAGGTACATTTTAATAGCTGTTTCACAGCTGACAACTGCCTTTTCTGACGTGGATTTAAAAGCATACGTAAAACATGGATGACAAATACAGATTCTAACACTAAACAAGCCCATAAAGTACTGTCTTGGATATCTAAGGCAGTTAATTTAGGAAACTAAGAAAAAAAATTTCCAACACCTGTGTTTTTTAAAAACCTGTTAAAAAATAGTGTACAATAAAGAGATACTGATCTGCAGCAGACTAATGCTAGTCATGTCTCTACGAAATATCAAAGGTGAAAATGTGATTTGTTCTGTATTGTGCAAAACGGTCCATCCTCTGACCTATTCCTACCTTCACTGGTTAACAGAAATGGAAGTGGCATGTTTGGATGCTAAACACTTGTCAGACTTTACATACCTGTGAAATGTAGCGGGAGGGAAAAGGTGGGAATGAATTTTCTGTTTTAAAGACTTACAAATTCCCACATATCTGAGCTAAACAACTTAATGTTCCCACTTTCTTCTATGTCACAGTTATTCTCAGTCTGGTGCATTTAGTATGTATAGCGTGGCCCTTGGAGAGAAGAAAGGAAGATGGTTGGGAGTAGGACTCATACTGAAATGTATCCATGTTCCTTTTTTTTTTTTTTTTTTTATAGCGTTCCAGGACTTAATTTCACCAAGCATGTTCCTCAAGGAAATACCTTCTAGGAAACAAAAGCCGTAATTGTAAACGTTAAAACTTGCAAAACTGTTCACACTGCATTGACACATCAGGAAACTCTTGAATGTTCTGTCTGTTCCATAATTTCTTGACTATATTAGTTGACCAAATTATTTGTGATTTTTAATATGTCGTTTGTCTCTTTCTTCTAGAAAACTCTAGTGGATGTTACATTGGAGAACACTGATATAAGGGAACAAATAAGGAATTTAAAACATACACACGAGCAATCTATGGAAAAGCTGAGAGAGAAGCAAAAGCAACTGGAAACAGCACAAATTGAAAATCAGTTACTGAAATTAAAGGTGCAGTATATAAACTCCCCTAAAAATATTGCACAGCAAGGGCATTAGGAGGATGTTAAATGAATTCATTGGCATTATTTGTAAAGGGTTCTTCATTCTTCATGCCTTCATCATTCCCTAGAGCTGACATATTCCTGTGAATCAATACTGTTTTAATAAAAAAGAATCTCAGCTGGCAACAGTCAGTCTTTCCATAACATGGGATTACCATGTGAAAATTACCAGGTGAAAATTCAAACCATTAAATGGTTATTACTGTCCATTACTATAAGTAAAGGAATATTATAACTGTACACCGTGTTATAAGAATTTCTTGATGTTTGATTCGTTTATTTGGTATTGCACAGTTTTTAATAGGTAGTCTGTTAAGTCTTATGAGTATATGGTCAGCAGATACATGCTGTAACAGCAAGTGTCTTGGAAAGAGAATTAAGCTATTTCTTTTGGAGAAATGCAAGGGAATAAAACACACACTGGGAGGTTTTATATGCCAGAAAGCTTGACCGTTTTCTCCCCTCATCTGCCAAATGTATTCCTTTAATGTCATTAAAAAAACAAACAAACAAACAAAAAACCCACCAACCAACGAAAAAACCCTCTTCCAGAAACCTTTCTCTCTCTTAAAATTGCTGAAAAAATAGACTAATTTGGATATAGTACTGTATCAGAATTTGTTACTGTGAAATTAAGGTGACTGCTCGTTTATTCATGTTTAATTTTGTCAGAGAAGATGTTTCGTTTTGGCTCTCTAGTGACTTGCATTCATGCTTAATGATAGATGGTTAAAGGAGTGAACAGTTAAAAGAGAGAACATTAACATAACTGTATTACAACTTACAATTCATGTTGTAGTTTCCTCTCATAGTGAAGGTTTACAGGCTATAAAAGTAGCTGTATTTTGTACCTGCTATTGCCAGCAGGAAATAAAAGGAGGGAAAAAACAATTAAAACAAGAAAGCAAAGCTGATGCAATTAAGATTTCAAAATGGAAATTTGGACTTTACTATAAAGGACATGCACCAACAAGTCAGGGAAAGGTATGTCTGCTTCTAAGGGCAGAGAACCGCGGAGTTAAGTCCCAGTGCAGCTGAATGCATAAGGATTAGTTTATCTTCAAGCGTGTCAAGGTCTGCAGAATACATGCACTGCCTTAATGAGGAAGAAGTTTAAATTTTGCCCTCAAAGTTGCAGTTTTATTACAAAGTCAGTGGATAAAATACCTCATTGCTGTCTTTGAAAGTTAAGCGTAAAATTGTTATCAAAGATGCCAAGACACCTGGGATTTAATTCCAGGGTTGAATGTAAGAGGATGGTGTGGAATCTGGGAGGTTAGCAGTTGAAAGGCAGTAACTACCATATGCCATGATTATTTTCTGGGTGGGAGAACACACCCATGTAGCTTATTAAGTAGGTTCAGTTTATTCATACAATCGTAACAAGAACTGAGGTTGGAGACATTGCTTAAGAGTACTATAACAGATGCCCTGATGCATCTGCCTTTTTATGCTTGTTTTTACTCTCCTCATTGCTCAAGCTATAAGTGAGGGAATGACGGAGAGACAATGCCAGAGATCGTATTCCAGTTCAGTGTATCTTAAGGACTCTGGGTTTTGATTGTTGGCTTTTTCTGGATGATATGATTCTTTCAGGCTTCCTGAAATGTGGAAGGTTTTGTGTTGTACTGAAACTTAATTTAACTCCAGTCCCTCTCACAAAGTGCAGGTTACTACCCCTGCCCCAGTGTTGGTCTAGGTGAGATGCCAAAGGGGGCAATTCAGTACAAGTGGAATCCTTCAGAGCTCAGTCCCTTTTCAAAGGATGAAATACACTGTTGTTAATCTTACAGGGTAGTAAAACAGCTTGTTCCCACCATGCAAGATAAACACAAGGGTTTAATAAATCTTTCAGTCCTTGAAATGAAAGAAAAAAAAACAACCCCAAAACCTTAATCATCAGACCCAGGTATTTTGTAGCTGTGCAAACTGTAGTGGTCAGCAGGGAACACATTATTTTTCTCCCAGATGACAGTATATTCCTCCTCTTCCTGACATTCCTGTAGCACTCACAGCATTTCACTATAACCTTGTCTGATTTATAGCATCTCTAGTCAGGGAACTATGTCCTGGACTAGCTATTTTACTTCGCTTTTACTGCGGTTTACGGAGTAGATGGGTTTAAGCTGTGAATATCCTATCTAGTTTTTAATCACTGAGGGTGTGGTTCAGTCAGTGTTTTGAGCCAACATAAGGGGGAAATCCTGTCTCTGAATTACCATTCCTGCCCTCTTCCCTGTAGCAGTAGTAAAGTTTCTGGTACTGTGCTTAAAAATTAACCCTTCCACACCCCTGAGTATACAAATTTTAAGTCTGATTGTTCTCTGATCTGCTTTGCTCCATGGTCACCCCAGTTCTTGTGCCTACACAAAGAGCAGTATGTGAAAAAGCAAGAGTGAGGAGGGAGGATACAGCTGTGTCTTCTAGTTAACAACACATACTTAGGTCCAGCTTAAAATAATTATTGCTTTGAGTGTTCATGGTCATTTAGAAACAGGAGTTGAGTCTAGACCATCTCTAATCTATGCTTCTATAAAATGGGGGGAGACAATATCTTTTCAGTGGGGAAACAAACCAAGTGACTTCGAGACTGTTATGGAAGGGCTCAGTAAAGAGGCATAGCCAGGTCTTGAATAAGCAATGACTAGTTAAATTCAGACAACGTGAAACTTGATGAAACAGTAACTTCTACAAATTCGAATGACTTGTATGCTGGCAGAGTGTTGTAAATGGTCTTGATGCAAATTAAAATCTGCTTCAGCAGTGTCAAATTTATAGCAAGGTAGAACTGAAGTTCAAAGTGTTATTCTTACATCATGTGAACTCCGTTTCTCCTGCTGCCAGCAGTGCTCTACTGACTGATGGGTCAACTGTGACTTTCATCCTTTCCCCTCTCATAGGTGGAGTCGTCGCAGGAGGCCAATGCTGAAGTCATGAGAGAGATGACAAGAAAACTGTATAGTCAATATGAAGAAAAAATGCGAGAAGAGGAGCAGAAACATAAAGCTGAGAAAGAAATCCTCCTAGTACGTATAGCCAGTCTGTAAGAGTGGTGCTTAGCTTGGGTGTCATTTCTCAATCACTTAATACTCCAGAGTTGACATGTGTTCCTTCACTCCTGTCTCTGGGAGTAGTCATGCCACAGTTACTAAGCTTTCCAGCTTTTGGGGTTGTAGGGCTGAGAAAATAATGTGTTCAAACATAGTAACAGTAATGATAATGTAGATTTCAAAGTTTGAAATGGAGTAAGTTGGGTTTTTTAACTTCTGATTCCCTAAAAAAAAAGAAAATATGTCCAATTTTAGTGATAGTTTAAGACGGGGAGGGGGAACAACTTCATTGGAAGCTACTGGAGCACGAACACTTCCTGTCCCCTGGTTTCCCTCCACCCCCAAGTAAAACTTTTCTATGAGCAGTTTTTCATTGCATTTTTCTAACTGGTAAAGATAGATAGTGACTGAGATTGAAGGCAGATTACCAAGTCTCTTTCTATTCATATTGTTTTATATATGAGGAAAGTACAAAGCTGAACATGGCAAACTTTGGTGTTTAAAATGCTATCTTCTGCAACAGCATAGTTTTCTTATGCTGTTACCTCATGGCATCCTCAGAAGGGAAAACAAATATCTAGGAAATGGGTAAAAGTTTTTCTCGGATTTTCATAATGATGCTTCACAAATACCTATGGAATTCAAAGTCCCCCAAATCTTTTGTTTATACAATTCACATTTAGTGTCACAACTCTTTTAGACTTCTGGGCAGGTGTACTGAAAAGCTTTGAGCTCTGCTTCAAAGCTATTAGCCTGGCTCTATGGCCTAAAAAAAAAAAAAAAAAAAAAAAAAAAAAAAAAAAAAAAAATCCTCATTAATATATTGTATGTTAATGTGACTGTAAATGTTCTTATTTGAAGGAGGAAACAAATCGGCTTCTGAAGGCTATTGAAGAGGCAAATAAGAAGATGCAGATTACAGAAACAAGCATACAGGAAAAAGACCAGAGAATCGGTGAGCTGGACCGGCTGATTGAACGCATGGAAGAGGTATGAAAGTTAGTTGATTGCCACCTTTAAAGGAAATGCAGAAGTACATGGAGGAAGTTTGGGGTTTTGGGGGGTTTTTTTGGTTGTGGTTGGTTTTTTTTTTTTTTTTTGGTCTGCTGCTCAGTACCCTGCTCAGTGACATACCATTGCTGTTTGCATCTTACTTAGTTATTGTTTCCATATAAGTAAGTGGACCTGGACTACCATAGAGACACTGTGATTAAGTGGTGGTTCTATCTTTGTAGTGGTCTTTACAGTCAGGGCTGCCTAAAGTGTCAAAATTTATTTAGCAAATTAACCATTATTTTAAAGAAAGAGTTTAAAAAGACCATTCAGTCTTCCTTCAGTGTGCAAGGTCTCCTAAGCCTAATGAAGCAGTAATCATAAATGATCCAAAGTCTCCTAGAAATGCTGTTTGTAGGTCCATTAAAATGTGTTTTAGTTACAAATAGACCTTACTATTTACTGATTGGAATTGTATCTCCAAATTTCTCCACATGTGGGTGAAATGCTAAACTGAAAGCTTCAGACTAAAATGTTTTGAGTTTTTTTTGTGGGTATGTAGCATCTACTTAATCTTCTAAATAAGATATCTATCTTATTTAGGTTATGGCTCAGAATATTTTGAGGAGAAAAGAAAAAATCATTTTTACTGCCTTTTAATCCAAAACTTAGGTTCTTCCTTTCCTGGTAGCATTAAACTTTTAATTATTCCTCTCCCTGGCTAAATACTCCCTACCAAAATGTAATTGAGAGCAGGTTTTTGACACTTTACTTTTAAAGCTCTGAAAGCAGAAGTGTTTTGAGACATTTACCCCTTGTGACACTGGTAGTACTACTGTAAAACTAATTGTCGCAGTTTTTGCATTGCTGCTTTTTATTTCCTGCTTTTCCTTCTACTCTTTTAGGGACTTTGCTCCAGGGCAAAACTCAGACTAGTAGTCAGATGATGATTATTTTAATGTATTGTTAAGCCTAAGAGTATCACAGTACCTCTCCTTGCATAGTACACTGCATCTGAATATAATTTGTTGAACCTTTTCAGATATCTGAAAAAGCTTTATATCTTCTGTCTCAAATAGTTGCGGTGAAATTTTCTCTTCGTTTTCTGGTATCATTCACCTAACTGAGAATGAATGTTATTGTTTACTCCTTAGACTGAATAGTGTCACTCTAAATGGTATAAGAGCAGCCCTTCCAAAAGACTCCGATGGTCTTGGATGTACTTTGGCATTTCTCATTTCATTCAATAGCAGGCATCTCATTACCTTTAAAGATCTATGCCTTGCTATCTAAAATACACAAGCAGAGAGCATTCTAGTAAGTGGAGGGAATACAATCTTCTGTTCTTACAAGTGAAGTCTTTTTTCACCAATTTTAGTTTAGTATAGTAAAGATTTTTTACCGAGAGATAGGTTTCTTTAAGCCAGTGTTGTTGGCTTGACTGGTTAGTCTAATGTGCATTTGTATTGAGCCCCTTTTGTCTAATGCTTGCAAATCTATTAGTAGAATTAGTGATTACAATGAGAAATCATTCAGCTTAATATGCCCCTTTAGTAGCTCCATTAACTTCATCTGGGCTTCAGCCTATAGCTTGTAAGTATTATGCAGTGAATAAAGAATTGCAATATAATCCTTAAGTACAGATGAGTTTCTTCACGTTGCTTGTTTAATTTGCTCTTATCTGGCTGATAGTTGCAGAGTAAAACTGAATGTCTCTTAAATTCCCATTAAAGTGGATAGCAGACTCCTCTGTTAATTTGTGTTGACTCAGTCCCCAAATCCTCATAGATCTTCATGAGCACTGTGCTGGTGGACACCTAAAAAATAACCAGGAATATTTTTTGGGAAGAAAATAGAGCAATACCTTTTATCTCAGTCTTGGGTTGAGACATCTTTTTGGTGGGATAACATGGAAAATTTGACATTTATGTAGTTAAAGATTGTGATGACTCATCTTTTTAATTTAAAAAATTCTGCTTCGAGTACAACCCTACATCTTCGAATAGGAAATTGAAAACTCTGATCTTATTTCCATGCATAGCTGGGAATTTGATTTTTATTATTATGCATTCTGTGCTCCTTGGCTATAGGAAATGCGTGAATTTTGTTTAATCATTTTCTATTTTAATTTCACAAGTGATCTTTTGAATTGCAATGAAATATGCTTTGTGAAGCCTTTACATTTTGACATATGGAGAACTGAAGGATAACATTTATTGTTTAGGAACGTCACCAGCTGCAAAAACAACTCGAACTAAATGAAATACAAATATCTGGAGCAAAATCTGACAACAGCTCTGACAGTGAAAGGTGAGATATGTCTTGTCTGGGACTTATAGTATTGCTAGGAAACTTTAGGGGTTGGTTTTTGAAGACACCTGAATTTTACTTTTTCTAACTTTAAAACTGCAGTCTGGTAGGGATTGTCCATCTGAATGTAAGCTTATTTACATGTAAAATATCAAGAGGATTAATTTTTGCAACAAAACCACTTTCATGCATCTTTCTTGAAAAGTTGTTTGCAAACATGCAGAGTACATTTTAGACGGAAAAAGTTGTGACATATTTGTGGATTGCATTTTTCTTAAATCTGCATTCCCAAATTCAACACAGTATGATCCTGACTATGAATACTTTCATTATCTCCTTCTAGGCTGCTCAACACAGTTTTAAAAGACATTCTGTATCCTATATTAAGCTGTACGACATCCCCTTTGAAAAGATGAACTGTTGAAGAGAGCAAGAGTTTTACATGTAACTGCCAGAGGTGTCTTTTTTTTTGTATAAAAGAGGGAAAGCGGCAAATATATTTGAGGCTTGGAGGGGCAGGTTTACACATGTGGTGCACATTAACGTAAACACATGAACAAAATGAAGGTGTGGAAGAAATCTGTCATGTAGCATCACAGTGCAGAAATAATCTATGAAGTTATTCGGGGAAAGTGAGGATGATATCATTGGCAGTGAGACCTCTGTGAATGTTTGTTCTCGAAAGCATGAGGCTTAGAAGAAAGATCTAGTGGTGTGGTGGCACCTGGATGTGCTGTTTCTGCCCACAGGTGGCAGGTGCATCTATTTGATGCTTCTTTGAGACTGACAGAACACCATGACCAGGCACAAGAAAGCTTCAAGGAAAGCCAGAGGCAAAGTTTCAAGAGAAATCTATCCAGCACTGAAATAGCGTAAACTGCTGTTGGAGTGAAAATTGCATCTGCCACTCAAAGGTTTATATGACACTACTTGAGTGGGTAAAGATGAATTATAAGCAGAGACTGAATAATTGTACTTGATAACTACTTATATTTCTGTGGCACCCAGAGGTTGAGGTTTTGGCACCCCGCTGTTCTGTAGGAAGCGTAAACATAAAAGGAGGTCCCTGCCGAGAGCCTCTCACTGCCTAGTTGTATTGATCTGTGACCAGCTTATCCGGTTTCAGGGTAATAATGGCTTTTCACAGCAGCTTGTTAAAATAATAATTTAAAGTGAACAGATGTTGCATACAACATAGAATATGGAGATAAAAGATAATTGCTTTCTTCCTTTACCTCTGGATAACAGATACTCTTCTCGCTTCAGTGAATCCTGCCCTGTCCACTCAGCATGAAAAGTTATGCTGCAGTAAAAAAGGGTAAAGGCAATGTTCAGACATGAATCTGTGCAATACAAACAAGCACACAGCTGCAATCTCTGCAATGCAAGCAATGAATCTGTGTTCAGATGCTGAAGTCTGTTCTTAAGTTCTCTTTACTTGTCTGCACCCAACCAGACACTTGAGCTCCACCTGAGGAAGGACCTCTGTTCCATTGCTCCATTGCTATCAGTGCTTAAAATTCTGAATCTTTCAATGAGAGACTAAATACGTGTTACAATTGCAATCAAAATGTAATTGTGGATTTGTAAGACTTTAATATGCAGGATTGAAAAAACCTGCAGCAATGCCTTGATTTTTTGAGTCCTTGTCAAAGTGCTGCAGTTACAATTCTGTAGAGTACTTCACTGTTAATAGAGACTTTCTGGGAGGAAACAGCATACAATTCAGTCATTCATTGGAATCATGTCATACAGTTTGCCATCTGCTGCTTTGCCTTAGAATGGTTGTTCTATTTGCAGCTTCAACAGTTTCTTCTGCTGTGCCCAGACCAAGATGAAGAAAGCCTTTTTGTTTTTAATTCCCCTCCTCCACTTCTCAAATTCTGTCTAGTCCTGAACCTAGGAGTACAGAAGTTTATTTTGTAAGCAAGCAATTGCTTTCTTTGAAGAATTTCAAGAATTGTACGTTCAGATAAAAATGGAGACTCCCATGGCCCACATGCCAAAAATTTATTAAAAAGCTTCCCTCCTGTTTCTTTGCATATTCTAAGACTACTTTTTTGGAAAGCTTTCAAACCAACTTGTGGCAGGAGTTCTGTGGGTGTTCACTTTCTGTGTTAAACAGATTTGAAGAAATGTAGAATCTGTCTAGAGAGTCATCCATACAAACTTAAAACATACAAAACA